ACATGCTGAGAAGATGCGGGTGGAATTTTCAAAATCCTCTGATAGACAGATACACTGAGTAAAACATAAAGAATCTGTGGTTACAGATTTGCTGCCTTGCAAATAAGCATGTGTGGCAGGGGAAGACTTGAAACTTACTGATCTCGGTTTGTTTTGGTAATGGAAAGTTAGAAGTAATGGCTGGTTTTCTCACAAGAAGCTCCACCTACCCCTTGTTCACTTTGTACCATCAGTGTACATCAGAAAAATAAGCGTACATCAGAAAAAAAAGCACAGAAAATCATACGTTAAATACACATTATTAAAGGTTTAAATATGAAGTAGTTGGAAGCAGTAAGAAAACTGCATAGTATATGTGCATTATTGTACAGTCAATCACAACGTGGCAGTGTACACAGACCACAGGGAAAGACTATGCAGACAGAATTAATGAGGGGCTTCCTTATTTTGCCCATCTGTGGCTGAGCCTTTGCTGGAATGACCTGCAGCTGAGGCAAACTAGGTCTGTAGGACCCAGTACTGGTACTGGTGATAGCTTAATAGGGTTGTCTTTCACTTGCTTGACACAGATACCATGCTGAAACTCAGAGCAGTCTCTTCTGCTGTTCTGAGGTCTGCTCTCTTTCTTCCTTCAAGAGAGTTCAAGAATGGATTATCTGCAAATCATGATGAAGCGCCAGTTTGCTTATGATCCTCTGCTGTCCAGAGTGCAATGCTTGTTTCTTTTATTTCTGCAAATAAGGGTGAGGTAGAACCTGGGTTCATGTTTGAAGAAGAAACTAAAGATCTGATTAAAATAAACTCCCAAATTCTAGAGTTACATGGCAATTTCAGTTGTCTCAAGTCTCAGGCTGTACTGTTCTTCAAAGCAGTATTAGGAATGACTGTAACATAGAGCAATAAATCACCCAGGACTGCATCCACCAGCATAATGCCAAATGCTACATTAGTGTGATGCCTTAAGGTCCTTTTGATTTTTTTATTTTTCTAATTTTTATAAGTTTTATGAGTAGCTATGTAGAAAATGTAGGTTTTAGAAGCAGCAACATTTATTCCCTTACCCTTACCCCTAGCATAGTAACTACACACATATCCCAACCCTTTTACCCCTTTTACCCCATTCCATGCTCCCCATATCAATTACCCCTGAATTCCATTAGAATATTTAGACTTCTCTTCAAGATAGGCCTCTTCTGTATAAGAACATCTAATCCTAGCCTGAACTGCAGAGTACAGTCAAGAACTGGGTAACCGTGTGCCCTTTGTGCTCCAAGGAAGACCAAGTGATGCTCCTTTAGGCATCAAGTGCAATATTTTGCTGCTATGTCATGAGCTGACATGCAGAATAATTAAGCATCTGGGTGAATGTGGGAGGAGAAATGCTCTTCTCTTCATCTCCAACCTTTTCTCTGATTCAAATGTTGACTGAAAAAGTTATTTCTCTTACATTCGCATGGGAATACATTTATTGATATGGCTCCACATATTTTTTATCTTGTTATTCATATCTTGGTGCATGAGACTACAGAGACTTGCTAATGTCCTTTCTGACATGTTTATTACATGTAAAACCAAGGCAACAGTTCAGGGGAGGATTTTTGCCTGGAAACACCTGGCAGGACAGGCCTTATTGCCAGTGCTCTGACAATTTGGGCACTTTGGCACGTCTTACTGCCTCATGGACATCAGGGGACATTGAAGCAAAAAGATGTAAACTCATAAGAGTTACTGAACTTATCCAGCCTTATTCAGCCTGGAGCAGGTAGATCTACAGGTTGGTGTGACAGCTTGTCAGTGGGATGACACGGGTTTGTATCCTTTTTCCAAGCGTCACAAATACTCTGAAGTGAGACCACCTTTCAGTTGCCCAGTGTGTCTGTTCATCATACTCGAATGGAAGTAGTAGGGGCATGGAGAGGCTTGTACTGGAGACTTGTAAAACTGAAATGATGTTAACATAGAAGAAACACAGCTGGTGATGCTGCAGTGGCCTCTCTGAGATAAGGTGGCAACTGAACATGCTATGTGAAGGGTTTTACGTAGATCTTTGGGTCAGGCTAACCAAGTGACAAAAAACTGATTCTGTGATCTCTCAGTAGAGCATTCCTGCTGGGGAAGGACTGAAACACAAAAAAATGCAGTTCTCATTTAGAAGTGAGGGCTGAAAAGTTAGTGCAATCTCTGAATTTGTTAGAAATTTCCTCCCCTTCTTGAGATGAGTGGTGGAGTTGTTTGGTTTTTTGTGTTTGCTTCGCTTTGCTTTGGTTTTTTGAGGAGAACAATAGTTTAAAATGGATATATGTAGAAAAAAAACAAAAGTCCCACTAAAAGGCAAACAATCTCCTTCTGCTGTTGCGGTTTAACCCTGGACAGCAATTAAGCCCCCATTAGGCACCTATTTACTCACTACCTCCCTCGTGGCATCAGGGAGACAATTGGAAGTGTAAAAGTGAGAAAACTGGTGGGTTGAAATAAAGACAGTTTAAAAGTAAAACAAAACTGCATGTGCAAGCAGAGCAAAACAAGGAATTCATTCACTGCTTTCCGTGGGCAGGCAGGATTTCAGCCATCTCCAGGAAGGCAGGGTTCCATCACATGTAACAGTGACTTGGGAAGACAAACGCCATAACGCCAAACAACTCCCAGGGTGTCCTGCTCCCACGTGAGCTCATCCACAGATCACAGTCCCTTTGACTCAAGTTCACACTGGAGTTCCAGCCTGTGCAGCACAGCAGCACAGAAACAGCAGCGATGTCCTGGCCACCTGTCAGCCCAGGTGCATCACCAGTGCCATTATCCAAATGTTCCCAGGATCAGCAGAGTAAGGTGATGGGCAGCACAGCTCTACAGCCAGCAGGGAAAGCAAAAAGCCATCACTCATAAGCACTAGGCTCAGGCAAACAAGCCCCATGGAAGCACAGGAGCCTGATGATTAACATCTGAACAGCAATAGCAGCTATAACCTCAATCCAGCACATTTCAATCAAATTTGTCCTTAACATGTAGTGGACACACCATTAAGAAGACCAACGTACTGTGAGAAAAAGGATAGAAATGTTCTTAGTTGCTCTGGTAGTTGTCCAGGAGACTGTGCTGAAACTCAGGCTGTAGAATGCTAAGGTTGCTATATCCTCTCTCCTGTAGAAGGATTTTGAGATGACTTTGAGAGTAAACAGAGGAAGGAGTAGGGCCAAGGCTGGTTACAGAACCCTGTGGATTCTGGTATGCAAGTCTGATCTCTTTGATCCCTGATGGGAAACTGCAACCAAAGATGTGACATATTTTTCTTTTTGGCTGGAGACCTGACCAAACTGGAGAAAAAGTAAAGACACCTAGCGAACAGAACTTAAAAAGAACATGTCCTGAATACCATGGACACTAGTGGGCTGTTGCTAACCGAGGTCACCCTATGTTGGTACTTCTGAAATTTTGACTTGCCCTGAATTTCATGAAGAGGGGAAAGGAAGATGAGTCTTCTCTGTGTAGTCCCTTTGTCTGTAATATACTTAGTAAGAGCCAAGCAGAGCTGTGGCTTTGTCGATGGTCCTACCCTACAGCAAGGGTGCTGGTGGAGAAGCTCTGTGCACATAGGTTTGTGTGTGCAGGTGCTCAGGGCTTGCTGAGCTGCTGTAGAGATAAGATGTAGCTGAGGACAATTTGCAGGCAGGCAGTTGACATGCACTGTGGAAACTCAGATACCAGGAGAGCCACAAATATCAGCTAAAGTCAGTGTGGTTTTCCGCTTGCTGGCCTTTGGGTAGTTAGTTTACCATAAAGAATTAACAGTAATTTTGTTGACTTCCGAATTGTTTGTTCTTCTAGCTCTTATCTCTGAATTCATTCACACTGTATGTCAGCTCTGCAGAATGCAGACTGTTGGGACCAAACAGCTGTGTGTGACAACAGATGGATAGAATGGAGCTGGGTCTGTAAGAGTGAAAGGAGCAGTTCCATGGTGCTGTGCCAGCAGAATCATTGTCTGTATCCCGCCAGTGTCCTGCAGAAGCCTCCCCAGGCAGTGATTTACACCAGGTTATGGGCTGCACCAGGAGAGGCTAAGAGGCAGCAAGGTAGTGGTATTAAAACCTGCACAAGAGAAGGAGTGAAGTGGCATGGCATTTCCTCTTATGTATAAAGCTAGAGAACTACTCCAAATCTTGGTGTGCTGAGACTGAGAAGCATGATCTTTTTATTACTGGTGTTTAGGCCCTGACAGCTGCAGTTGCTGGTTCAGATGTAAAATGAGGCTCACAAAGATTGAGATGGGGTCAGGCACAGGTAGAAGCAGTGAATGAACAAAGTTCTAGATCATGTTCCACCTTAGAGTTCCTTGTTCTCTCTCCTCTCCTCCTCACTGCATTTGTCATGCAAACCTAACTCAGCCTTAGACAGGTATTATTCTATGGTTCAGAGGCTTAGCCATGGCTGTATGTCATCAAATGAAAGATTAAACTCAAGGGCTCCCTTGTGATAGGACCAGTAAGATGTGTTTCAAGAAATTAACATTAGAGACCTTGTGCTCTGTGGGATGCAGTTCTCTGAATTATGCAAAGAGGTAAATGAGTGTGACATTTAGATCTCAGGATTGTAATAATTTCTATGCTTCATGTAGCAATAACTGCCAAAGCTCAATTATTCTCTCTGTGAGACACTTCAAAATTCTTATAGCAAAAGTGAGAGTTGCTCAACTTTACCTTCAGTCCTGTGTGACCATTCTGGGAAGGTTGCTCCTCATTACACAAGACAATTTCTTCTTGATTTATTTTATTCTGTAAGAAATGCTACTTAAATACTAGGATACAAAGTATTTAAAATTGAATGACCTCAGTTTATACAATATGAATTAAATTTCTAATTGCATATATGTTAGACTTGGTCTTCTAAAAAAAGATCAAAACTTGCATGAGCAATTACAGCATCCGTAGTTGCACTACAGAGAGAGGTGATGGAAGACAGAGCTGACAAAGGTTGGGTAGGATTCACCCTGCATGCTGTGTTTCTGCACAGTCACATATGGCTGCATTGTAGATGTTTGCTTCCTTCTCCTGAACAATTTGGTACCGGTGAGTTCTTGCTGCATGTCACGTTGCTGAGCAATATTGGGACTTCCTTTCATCTCTGCTAAGTGCTGAGACACTTCTGCACATGGAAGCTGCTGTGCTTGGTACTAGATTCTCATTGTCCTAGGAAACAAGACAATACTCTTAAGTGGGAGGAAGAAGCTGTTGTGGAAATGCACTTTTGGTTTCTAGGAATGTAAAAACAGAATTTCCCCCCTTTATTTGATAGAGAAACAAAATACTATAAGGCTTTATGTCTGTGATCTCACATGAGCATGACCAGAGATTGCCATGCTCCATATGTACCTGCTAGCACAGAAGGTGTAGAGATGAAAAACAGCCTGCAGGAAGAGGAGGCCCAGGAGGCTCATAAGGCTGATGACACAGTGAAGAAAGCTTCCAACCTCTAAAGAGAAACAGTTGCTCATTAAGGTACATCTCAAAGATTGTATTTACCTTGTGCCTCTGTCAGGATTTCATCTTCTGGACAATGTTTTCTTTGTGCTTTTCTTCGGAGGACACCCTAAGGTAGCTACCTTCACCACCTAAAGCCTCCACCTGCCAGCCAGTCTTTGGAAGCTGGAAGCTGCCTTTCAGTCTTTCTGTCACAACCTACGCATTACCCAACAATTAGCAAGATGTAATGGCACCACAGGATTACAATAAATAGATCTGGGTGATCATACCACAGACATCTTGGTGTGTCATGAACTTGTGAATAATCCTGCCTTTCCATTCAGCCCTGGAGGTGGGAGGGAAAACCACTGCATCCATCTCTTTTCCTAAAATTTCACAAAGGGCTTTACAGTTCTGACAGCACTCCTGTTTATCCTGTCTCCTCCCAACAAATTTCTCACTGGAAACTTAGCTGCACAGTTCCTGCTGCAATCTTGCCAGTGCCACTGATGTGCATAAACAGAGGGCTAAACAGGCTTTTGAACAGCAAATGCACAAAGGGAAGCTTACCTGAGGGACAACAGTCTATGGACTCACTCCAGCTCCCAGCTGAGTGGAACACCATGCAGGTTGTGTCAGTCACGTTGGTGTTACATGCTGTCAACCTGCTGAGAACAGTCACTGTCCCGTTGTTGTGGCTTTCTTCCTCAAGGGAGTAGTTGCTCTCTAGGAGCCACGAGACCTGAGCAGGCGGCTTCCCTGCCGCTGCCTTGCACACGGGCTTTCCGTGCTCATCACAGAAGAGGCTCAGCCTTGGGGGCACTGCAAAGCACCAGGAAGGGGAGATGCATGGAGTTAATTTGAACAGTTGGGCTGAGAAGTTCTTCTTCTCCACCCAAAATGAAAGCAGTGAAAAGAGGAGAATGAGGTTGGAGGTGCCATCCCATGGCAACAATGTGGATCCAGCTCACAAGAGACAAAGATCCTGTCTCTTTTTTCCTTTTGGACAACTCTCCCATGTTCAGGTGAGCCTTACCACAGCCATTCTCCATATCCTCTGTTAGGATATGGGAAATTGCTTTACAGCTCTTGTTTCTAACTAGACAGTGGAAAAGGGAACAGCAGAAGGAAGAAGAGTTTTCGGAAATGAGGATAAGGGAGACCAGACCTACTATCAATGGGTTTATCCCAGCAAGAATAATAGAATCATAGAATGGCTTAGGAAGGGACCTTAAAGATCATCTCCTTTCAACCCCACTGCGATGGGCAGGGACATCTTCCACTAAACCAGGCTGATCAGAGCCCCATCCAGCCTGGCCTTGAATGCTTCCAGGCTGGGGCATCCACAGCTCCTCTGGGCAGCCTATTGCAGTGCTTTCCCATCCTCTCAGTATGGGATTTCTTCCTAATGCCTAATTTAAAGCTACCCTCCTTCAATTAAATAAAAAAAAGCTCCATTTCTCACTTTATGTTTCCCCAGTGCCTGGGGAGAGGAGTTTTGCATGTCCAGGCCCAGACATGGTCCTTTGCTAAGGAAGGAATCCCTTACCCAACACGGTCAGGTGGTATGTCCTGTGGAAATTCCCTTCTGGTGTTAAAACTTCACAGATGTAATTTCCCTCCTGGGCTATCCCCACTTGCTGTATCTCAAGGGCAGGACCCAGATCTGGTCTGAATTTCCAGTTCATGCTGTCACTGCAGTTTGTTCTGTCTGTTGTGTTTGTATCAGCCCTGTAGTACAAGTTGCAGGGGCCTCCAATCTTGGGACTTATTTTCCATGCTAGCATATTTATATTTGGTTTGAGAGGGCAGGCGAGCACTGAGCTGTCACCTACAGTCACTGACACTTCGTTGTTCCCTGAAGGAGAGAAGGAAAGAGAAGGACATATGAGAATGTGCCAGGAGATGTCATAGCCTCGGAGTTGTGGTCTGTACTTTCACAGGGAAATGTCTACACTGGTACGGGTAAACATGAGGCTCTGTCTGTGCCAGCCCAAGAACTGCATCTCTCTTCTTAAATGGGAAAAGATTTCCAAATTCATGGCTGTGTTCACATACATTTAGCCTTGTTTTCAATCTCTCCCTAAGGCAGCGGATAAATGACATGACTGGGAAGCAATGTCTGAATGAGCTGCAGAGCCCATTTCTGTGGGGAGATCTCCCAGCTTGCTTTTCCCTCAGCATCACTGCCTAGTACAGCAGGAAAATGAATGTCTGGAGATATTAGTATTCTGTCATTCATCTTTCTTTTGTTCTGGTCATAAGCCACCTTCCAACTCAGGTCAAGCACAGGAGGCAATTTCTGCCCTGTGACTCCAAAGCTTATATGAACCAATTTCCCTGATTATAGTGGTGACAGTTAAAATAATTGAGGAGTATGGCATTTCACTGGAAAGTATGCATTCATGTTTCCTATCAGATTAAGAGATTCCCAAGAGACTCAAGGTCATTCCTCTGTGACCTGCCTCACCTGTGCTAACAAAAACAAACAAAAAAAACAAACAGAAATTTGCAAAATTAAAGTAGAGTAGGGAGGGGGGGAAGTATTACAGCTGCATTCGCAGATCCCATATTTTTGACATTAGCTCTGGTGAGTATTTAACTGAGTTTGGAGAGGGGAAAGAACCTTTGCATTGTCTTTTTAAAACTTTCACCTGGACCTATTGTTGGAAAATCCCAGTATGCTTCATTTGTCAGGACAAGTCACTGATCCCTAAGAGTAAAGCTTGACATGGTGCTCAGACTAATCATAAAACCTCCCATCAATCGTGGTTGTTAATGAATTTGTTAATTATAATGAAAAATATTATACTCCATGAAAATCATTACCAGTTTCCATCAAATCATTGAAAAGCCCAAGTTCAGCATCTTAGTGGTTGACAACAGAAAAAATCAATTTGCAGCTAGAAATGTTTTGATTTGCAGGTTATTGGTTTTCCATCAAAAAGCCCCTTCAGCAACTTGTAAAGATCCTTTCCACTAGATTTTCCCTTCCCAAAGAAGATTGGAGTAAACATCCCTCTGATACACTGTCCTTTCCTCCTCTGCCCCCAGCAGAGACTTGGTACCAAGTAGAATCAGAAGTACCTGTAGCGCCTCTGACCGCAGTGATGGTGAGAAGGACAATGGTGTAAATGGTCTTGTGGACAACTTGCAAAAATGTTGCTCTTGCTTTTGTAGGTGATGGGGGTTTCTTGCCCCATCCAGCTTGCTGTGAGCTCCCCACCATGCCTTGCCAGTGATCCTGCAGCCCAAGTCTCTGTTCTTCCTTCCCTCCTGTGACACAGTTTGAAATGGATGACACAACACGGTTCGAGAAGGACTGTAGGTCTGAGTTTATTCAAAATGGCTCCCCCTATTTATAGGGGGGAGAAGGAAGGTTTTGGAAATGGGGGCGGAGACTTCACAAACAAGGGAAGGAAATGAGGGTACAAGCCTTGAAAGGGAGAGCATGGGAGTTCTACCCAAGTAGGGTAAAGGAAGAAGGACATGACCAAATATGGGGATTCTGCACTGCAGCAGAATCCAACCAATGGGAAAACAGTAGTTAAACATGAGGGAAAGAACATTATAAAATTGAATAAAAACATGGGCGTACAACATGTTCGAACGGGCATTAACACAAGAAAGTAATTTCCTCAATCAAGCAGTCTTTGTTCAGGTAATGATATATCTAATTGGTTCATAGCACACTCTCTTCTTCAGAATCCTCAGTTAAGTTGTCTTGAAGTCTTTGCTTCCATTCCTTGAACTTTTCCTCTTCATCGTAGATACTTCCAACACTCCTGAGAGCCCCACAGTGCAGCTACAAAGAGACGGTTCTTCTTCCTAGCATGAAGCTTTCTCTGATGAGAATTGATGAACAGAGAGGAAATGGTCTTAGCATTTGCATTTTGACCAATGACCTTCTGTCTAATGTTACTGTGGGAGGAGAAACTCTACAGCAAAACTTGCACAAAGCCTAAGAGGTGTGATTTTTCATATCTGATCTCGTCATTAACAACATTTTTGACACTAGACTGTCATCTCCCATTAGAGATGTTTATTGGCACAAATCAATTATGATATCTAGCAGCTCAAGTTAGGGGACTCAAAGAGGGACCAAGAATGATGAAAACCCTGGGCAGTTATACTTGTACAATCTGAACTCCCCATCTCTCACTTGACAGTCTGGACCAACAGCAATATTTGGGGCTGGGGTCTTCCCACTCTTCACTGGTTCAATGTTTCATTACCAAGTGGTTGCTACATGGTCATCTTCATATCCTCTCAGGTCGGTTTTGGTGGGGCTTTTGGCCAGTTCCATAGTCCATATTGTAACATGGTTGTTACAATTCATATCACAGAATCATTTAGGTTGGAAAAGACCCCCAAGATCATCAAGTCCAATCTCTGACTGGTTTCTACTTTATCAACTAGACCATGGCACTAAGTGCCACATCCAGTTGTTTCGTAAACACCTCCAGGGACTATGACTCCACCACTTCCCTGGGCAGTCCAATGTTTAATCACACTTTCATTGAAGAAATTCTTCCTGACGTCCAACCTGAACCTGCCCTGGCACAGCATGAGGCTATGTCCTCTTGTCCTGACACTTAGTTACCTCGGAGAAGAGACCGACCCCTACCTAGCTACAACCTCCTTTTAGGTAGCTGTAGAGGGTGACAAGGCCCGCCCCCCAAGCACCCTTTTCTCCAGAAACACCTCCAGCTCCCTCAGACACTCTGCATGTGACATGCTCTCTAGACCCTTCACAGCTTTGTTGTCCTGCTCTGTACACACTCCAGCACACGATCCATGGGATCTTCACTCTAGCAATTAATTTTTAAGTAACATTTAGGCAACTTTGTCTATTCTATTATTAATGTTCAGGCTGTTAACTTCAAGTTGCATTATAATCCATCTTTGACTTACACAACATAACTGTATAGTTTAGATAAAGTTGAGTTTGCAGCCTATCAATTCTAGCTTCTTATTTCAAGCAAGCACTTGGCTACTTTCAAATAACATAAAATTTCAACACTTGCAGTGAGAATTTAAACATTAAGAACTCTCTGCCAACCACTACAGTCACAGCAGATTTATATGTTTCCAGGGCTGTGTGAAATGTGGCCGGAGAGGCTTCTTTAGTTCTGGGGTCAAACAGATGCAAGACATCCATAAATGGAGGGAATTACCATCCCAAATAATGAGTGCCATTTAACTGAGAAGAGGCATAGCATCCTTGAATGACTCAAAGGAAAAGCTGGGTGAGTTCAAAAACAAAGTTAGGCAATCTCTGTTCACACTTCTTATATTCAAAAAAGACAACAGCAGCAATATACTGAAATCCTCATGTCTGCTGGCTGTTGTTGCTGCAGTTATCCTTTCCAAAAAGCCACTTTGTCAAACAATTTCACACAGCTACCTGCACCTTGTTCAATGCAGCTTCTGCTTCAGCACTGTGTGGTTTGGCTGTTCAGTGCAACAACCATTTCTCAGGTATAGAGGCAGGTCCAAGATGCAAAGATCACATTTAGATCTCTGTGGTGGGAGTCATACCATAGTTTCAGCCATATAGTCTGTGGGTAAGGTAGCTCAGCACTAAATGGCAGAGGCAACAAGAAACTATGGTCCAAGTCACAAAAATGAGAAGCTTTCAGGGTCCCAGTCACTGTGCATTTAACTGGGAGCAATACACCCATGCACCTGGAAGAATCTAGGGCCATTTTAGAAAGTAAGACAGGAAAACTCCTGATAAACAGGCAGAATTCCTTACAGCAGGTGATGCAACCTAGTCCTCTTATCTTTGGGGTAAACTAATGCTTTTGGGTTTGGGGTTTTTTTGCTAAAGATTCTGCCTAGTCTCTGATATTCAAAGTGATGGCTGGAAAATCATTTTCTTATTTTTTAATAAGCCTTTTGGGTTTTGAGTCTTTGGATTGCAGTCTGGCCACAACACAGCAACTTACTGCATAACTGTGAAGAATGGAAAGGTTTTATATGGCAAATTTGGCATGGGAGGACTGATGTATGTTTTTTGGTTTTGGAAGCCCAAACTCTCAGTCTGACACCAGATCTGGAGCCAGACAGCATGGCAGTATTGTGGCAAGAGGACCACTGCTGTGCCCCAGGTAGCTGATCCAGGCTGTTCCAGGTCCTGCTGGACCTGTTTGTTCTCCATCCAACTCCAGTACAGACCTGTGGAGCTGGTTTTAAGTGTCCTTCACTGTTAGATTGCTTCATCCTCAGCTCAGAAGGCTTCTGTGTTTTGAGACCCTGTTTTACTTGAAGTCATAGATCACCATGAATGATAGCATGACATCCTGTTTCCTTTATCCTGTTTCTTGCTTTTGTTTTTTTTTCTGCAAGAGCCCTGTAAAGGGTTCTACATGTCCATCATACCCCTAGCAGAGGGACTTACCCTCCCCCTTCTGCCCCCATTACGGACATATCAAGTGCTGGTTTTAGCTATCCTTCTGGTACGTGGCTGCTCAGTTGTTATTAGTGGTTCAGCCCCTGGAAGAGTAGAGTTTTGCAAAAATTGGCTTCATGCTGCTGCTGCTGCTGCTGCTGCTGCTGCTGCTGCTGCTGCTGCTG